GATAAATACCTGCCAACAAAACCGTTTTCACAGCTTTGTTCTAACTACGACATGGCGCTTCTTCTTCCGCTGGCGTTTCCTCAAATGACACCTTATGACCGCCAATTTGGCAACATTTACCAAGAGCTGGGATAGGTGCCAGAGAATCTCTAAGAGCAACAAATCACATTGCCCAAGAGCTTCTCTCACAATATGCTAAACGTGGATGTCCAATCAGGAGGTACGGTCCTGCAATTGTCTTCTGCTGCTGGAGCGTATTGCGCACACTATGCCATTGGATATGATGCCAGGAACAGACGGCGAAACAGTAGAAGACTCTTTCTATTCAGCACACAGCTTGGTTCTTCCAGGTTAGCAGTCGACAACAGCTCGGTCCGTTTCGACGATCAGAAGTTGGATACTGCCGAACTTATCAACGGACAAAACCTCTGGCTCTTGAACAGAGGCTCATTTACCCTAAAGTTTGCGAAAAGTAGTCACGCAGCATCGGTCATTGATAGGGAATCTGAGGGTTCGCAAAGCAAAGTAATCAATCAAGAGCAATTGGATCAAAAGCTGTTCGGTTAAAGGCGTTTTGATCAGGGTCAAATCATCGCATGCTGGTGGTCCAGACCCTTGACGATGCAGGTCGACTCGAGTCTCGCAGTTGCCTATTCGAGACAGGCGAATATGCGTGCGGATGTATGCCTCACCCTGCAGGATGCAGTGCTAACAAACGATTGCATGGCCACGACGCGGCGGGTAAGACGGCTGCCTTCCCATACTCAACACTCTGTCATCTCAAGAGCCTCCCAACAAATTGGGATTCCCACATGTCGGCGGAGACACTGGCGACAGACCGTACGATGTTCGGAATCGACGGTGGTTTTCCCAAATGACCTATTCGAGACAAATGCCGATTCTCCAAGAGAGTCCCGGTATCCGTACACCAAGCAGCTGGGCCCCAGAATTCTCTGTGATTTCTCCGTATTGGGAGAAAATGTTTCTTCGTCCGAGCTACCCACAGAAAACCAGCGGGACTGGGGCCAAGCAATTCAGATGCGGCGACGGGCGAGGATGGCCAACCACCCCGCGGATGTGTCGTCGGTTGTGCCAAGTCCAACTTCCATTCGTCCATCCTATGAGATGGCGGCATGTGGACTGACCCGGATGGCAGGGGAGGCTAAGGGAGCAGTCAAGACTGACACAGGGACAAGGAGGTGGAGGGCAAGGGACCCGGCCTTCTGGAATGGCAGCCTAAAACAGCGCAGCGCAGCGCATCAGAGGCACGGGCAGCAGCGGCCCCCCAGGATCCCAGGTGTGCCAGGTCATGTTCTCCAATACCCCTCGTGGGCGGGAGTCTGGGGGAAAATGCGGGAAGTCCGGGGGGCACGGGGTACTGCGGTAAGTACAGCGGTACAGGAGCAAGGATGGAAGGTTTGGTTGTTGGAAGCGGGCAGCGTGGAGGAAGAGAGAGGAGCTGCTGGTTAGCCGCGGGCTTCCTATCGAATCGGCTGCGAGGGCCCGGCGCTACGTATTGGCACAAGTTTTGGAATGCGTTGGTCCATCTTGTTCGACCACGTCTTCAAGTAAGAAAATGACGGGCGTGAGACGGCGCATCTTCGTCTGAAGGGAGTGGCTTCCTGTCGCTGCAAGCCTCTCAAGGTACATGGCGGGAAGGAACAAGACGATAGGTAGCCACCTGCTTCGGGCTGCATCATTACCCGAGGTGAGATGAATCCGCTGCTGAGAAACAACCACCGCCTTCCTTCTGGACGAGGGGCGGGCGGAACTTCCGTTCGACCCCTCCAACCACACCGCACACATACATGGAGGCGCACTGCTCCCGAGAGTCTTTCTCCGCATTGCGCATGGCCAAGGTCGGGATGGCCCCTCCAGTGTCTTGTGGTTACACACCACCTTCAGACACCACAATCCCACGACAACAGCCTGTGGATGATCAAGCAGACGTCTCATCTTGAATGTCAGCGGCCGTGATAGCGGCCTTGCCTAATTCGATACATCTACAGACTCTCTATCGCCAAGTGGGTACGACTACTGTGCTGCGACTCAATATAGGTTATTCGGTGGACCATGGCCGACGTCGGAGGCACTGCTGGCCGCAAAACTGGTTGGATACCGCAGACGCACATCGCATATCAGCACTCAGTCATCACAGTGGGTTCGGGGACACTTTTCTCTTCCGCACCATCGACAAGCGCAAGGCTCGAACCCACAATCTGCAGGGAGTAACGCGTTTGCAAATTGCGATTGCAGATGTGGGTGTCGACCCCAGAATCTGCGAGACTTGTTGAATCCCGACCCAACACCAGACCCCGAAGCAGCCATGATTTTCAGCGGGGATTCTGGCCGACTTTCTGCGCGTCGTTTCTTCTTCTCGGCGGCTGCTCGCAAAGTCGGATCTGTCAACGGGTAGAATTCGACGTTGGGTCGGCTGAGCAACTGGCATTGCAGGCGAGATATCGACATGACCAGAGATGTGGGAAGCCAAGACGGAGCCCGCAATCATATCGATGTCATTGTTGGAGTCAATCCAATCACGGGGGCTGTCGCGGACGGCAGTCGTTGGTAGCGCGTCGCGATCAGCAAGCATCCGCCTGCGCTGGCGCAAAACTCACTGGCCAGCAGCCGCACGCCGGCTTCAAGAGCGGCGCCATTCGGTCAGCCCAGAAACTTTTGGAGGCGCACCAACTCGATGCTGCTGGGGGAGAGTGCGGGGAACTCTCTGGGCGTATGAGGGGCAAACTGAGCTTGACGACACGCACCGACAGCACTGTGCTTCAATTCGCAACGTAGACGAAGCTCAGCGGTTCTACGGTGACAAATTCGACCTCTTGGTCGTCTTCAGTCTAGAGCAGCACGACATGGTCCCGGAGGCACACATCTGGTGACAGGCGCCACTTATCCTTTTGAAGATGATGTGTCACTGGCGTCTTCTCGGTGATTTTGGTTCTTACACGAGAGACATGCCAGGCCACACCGAGAGGAAAGAATGAACGAGCAAGGAGCAAACCACATGAGTGGAACGTCGTCACGAACCATTCAGCTCCACCTCGAATGCTGCTCCCCATTTGCCCATGATCGGCCATTTGCTGGCAAAATGCTCATAGGGCGACAAGGAGAAATATTAAGATGTGAAATTTGGGCGGTCCCCTTGGGCCAGATACAGCAGGCCAGCACCAGTCGCCCATCGGCCATGCCTCGCAGCAAGGTGATTGACATGCGATACCCCCGTTTAAGGACAGACGCCCGGACGCCAATGGTGTGAGAACGCATGTACCGCCGCTTCTACACCTCCATAAAAAAACCGATGGGTGTGCTCTTGGTCTTCGTCACCGTCACCCCAAGAACAGGCAACGATCGATCACGAGAAGGGCGCCGGTCGGCTGTGTTTTTTCTCGGCCGGTCGGCGGGACAGCACCAGCCAAGGTCACTACAGGAATCATTGCTTTCAGACGAGGGTTGACTTGCCTGGACTAGCCAAGCACTCTGGGCCCAACAAGACGGCTCCCTGACGCCGCTCGACACGGGTTCGCGGAGGTCCTGTTATTATCACTCATGTATGGATGACTGTTTCTGAAATGCCCCGCCCCCAGGTCAGGACCAACCGGCCGGCCCAGGAGCACCCAGGCGCGGACGGCAGGTAAGTAGATACGTCTCACAGGACAAGCAGCTTTCAGACGCTACTGCAGAGTAGTGCTGTTGCGTATCTGCATCGGTCGTGGTAGGCTGGTTTGGATGCGAGGGGTTGCAGGGAAATGGAGGGTTCGCAGGTGGTTCGGGGCAAAGGAAAAACGTCTGGATGCATGACCCCCGGCCAAGCGGTAACGCGCCGCCGCCGTAATACCTACCAGCGAGATGCGAATGGGATTGCGGAGCCGTGGCAAGCCATTCACCAATGGGCGGCCGCGGGAGGGCTGATGGAGGTCCCCTTTCCGCGTGCCTTGTCCCTTTTCTCCATCGACTCTAGCATCATCGGGCCGTACTGTACCGTGGTCCCATACCGAGAATGGGGCTCCCTGCCAGGCTGGGCCTCTGCGTGATTTCACTCCAAAATTGGGAGCTGGAAATAGATTCCTGGTACCGTAAGTAAGGTGGCCAGAGAATGACCAAGTCGAGTGACGGTGAGTGAGGCGTCTTTTGTGTAAAGTCACCTTCTCCGTCACCTTAGGCAGTGAATGAAGAAGGCGTTGCCATGGAATAATGGATGGAGATGGGTATCCGTTCTGATGGAGAGAGGGTCCGTAGACAAGTAAGCGATCTCGGTCTTTGTCTTCCAGGGCCATTCCTAGGCTGGGTAAGGTAGCCTGGTGTTGGGCCGTCTGGCCTGTCTCCAATGGAGCAAGCAGCTCAACCGGTGCACCGTACCGAGCGCAGTGTCTCCGGCTCGAGCTGGAGTCCACCTTCCAGCTAAGTCGGCGGCGTTCAGGACAAGTCCCCATTCGCCCATTAAAAGCAATCCCGTCCCCCGTCCAATTCGCAGCCGGCCACCAAAGGAGTCGATCTTCTTAATTACTACGTCTCCCTCTTCTTCCCATCCTCACTTTCTCCCTCTTCTTGCCTCTTCACTTTCTCCTACATCCATCACCAGCCCTCCCTCCTCCAGCTTCTTCTACAGTGACAGCTTCAGCATCCACTTTGCCTGAAGTTGCCCCATTGGAATCGCGAACTTGCTGCTGCCGCTACCCGCTCTGCAGTAAACCCGGACCGCCATCAGCCCAGGAACCACGCGACCCGAAACCTCGCTATCGAGAAGCAAGGCCCGTCGTGTGTGGAGAGTTGCGCCAGTTGCCATACTGCCAGCCTCGCTTGTCACCGTAGCTGCACCGAAAGCGCCCGCTTGTCTCCCGACGACGTCGAAAAGACAGACCACGTCGAACGATTCGCTGTCTTAGCAGCTCCAGCGTCTCTCGACCTCCCTCACCACCACCAAACCACAAGCTGCAATCCTGCACAAAGTACCCCGCATCCTTCATAAACGCACACACAACCCCGCCACCATGGCCGCATCAACAGAGCAACAAAAGGCCCCTGTGGTTGCTGAGGCCCACCTTGTTGACACCTTCCGTAAGCCCGAACATTCCCCAATTTCCTTCTTCTGCGTCCGGCAGCGGCAGTAGTAGCAGCACCAGTAGAGAGCGCGGTAGCGACAGCAACACCACACCACCATCACCGCAACGTACATTGGCTTGTACACTCGACGCAAAGCTCTGCCTGCCTGTGTCTCGCGCGCAGTCGTTCCTTTTCTTCCGTTGGGAACAACCATGGCTAACTGCTTCCCAACAGATCCTCCCCAGAAGATGCTTGACAGTAAGTGCGCCGCCGTGTTGCAGACCCAAACCCACCCGTAATCCCGTCCCATGGCCTGTTGGCGGCCAAAAGTCGCGTGAGGGGCACTGGAGACTGTGCGCAAGGGGAGGGGCAAAAGAGAGGGGCTTTCAGCGCTCTGGAAGCTCTTGCACTCGTCTGATTGGACATTTTGCTGACTTACCTGTGCCTTCCCGCAGAGCACCCCAGCCAGCCCCACTTGAGCAGTAAGTCATTCCCCTCTTTACCCCAAATCCATGTCTCTTCATTGGCTGACCGGAGCTCCCTCTGCCCCTCTTTCGCACAGGTCTCGAAGATTACCAGAAGTTGTACAAGGAATCCATCACCGACCCCAAGGCCTTCTGGGGCACCAAGGCTCGCGAGCTCCTGACCTGGTTCAGCGACTTCCAGACGGTCTATTCCGGCTCTCTCGAGGGAGGTGACAGCGCCTGGTTCGTTGAGGGCCAGCTCAACGCTTCTTACAACTGTGTCGACCGCCACGCCTTCGCCGATCCCGACCGCGTCGCCATCATCTACGAGGCCGACGAGCCCGGCGATGGCCGCAATGTCACCTACGGCGAGCTCCTCAGAGAGGTCTCGAGGACCGCCTGGGTCCTGAAGCAGATGGGTGTGCGCAAGGGCGACACCGTTGCCATCTACCTGCCCATGATTCCCGAGGCCCTGATTGCCCTCCTCGCTTGCGTCCGTATCGGCGCTGTCCACTCCGTCGTCTTTGCCGGTTTCTCTGCCGACTCCCTCCGCGATCGTGTCATTGACGGCAACTCCAAGGTCGTCATCACCACCGACGAGGGCAAGCGTGGCGGCAAGTTGATTGGCACCAAGAAGATCGTCGACGATGCTCTCAAGCAGTGCCCTGATGTCTCCCACGTCCTTGTCTACAAGCGTACCGGCGCCGATGTGCCCATGACCAAGGGCCGTGATTGGTGGTGGCACGAGGAGGTCGAGAAGTGGCCTGCCTACTTCCCTCCCGAGCGCATGAACTCTGAGGACCCCCTCTTCCTCCTCTACACTTCCGGTTCTACCGGCAAGCCTAAGGGTGTTTTGCACACCACCGGCGGGTACCTCGTCGGCGCCGCCGCAACCGGCAAGTACGTCTTCGACATCCACGAGGGTGACCGCTACTTCTGTGGTGGTGATGTTGGATGGATTACCGGCCACACCTACGTCGTCTACGCGCCTCTGCTGCTTGGTGTTACCACCGTCGTCTTCGAGGGCACTCCTGCCTACCCCAACTTCTCAAGGTATTGGGACATTATCGCCGAGCACCGCATCACCCAGTTCTATGTCGCTCCTACCGCTCTGCGTCTACTGAAGCGCGCCGGTGACCAACATGTCAAGGGTGACATGAAGCACCTTCGTGTCTTGGGCTCCGTCGGCGAGCCCATTGCGGCCGAGGTTTGGAAGTGGTACTTTGAGGTCGTTGGCAAGGAGGAGGCTCACATTGTCGACGTAAGTGAAAATACGTCTCGGTATACGTTATACACCAAACTGACCTTCCTCGCAGACATACTGGCAGACCGAGACTGGATCCAACGTCATCACTCCTCTGGCTGGCGTCACACCCACCAAGCCTGGTAGCGCATCTCTGCCATTCTTTGGCATCGAGCCTGCCATTATCGACCCTGTTTCCGGCGAGGAGATCCACGGCAACGACGTGGAGGGTGTCCTTGCCTTCAAGCAGGCCTGGCCTTCGATGGCCCGCACCGTCTGGGGTGCTCACAGGCGCTACATGGACACCTACCTCAACGTCTACAAGGGTTACTACGTGAGTATCACCGCCTCTACGCCGCAAACTTACACTGACATTGAATCAAGTTCACCGGAGACGGTGCCGGCCGTGACCACGAGGGCTTCTACTGGATCCGCGGACGTGTCGACGATGTTGTCAACGTCTCGGGTCACCGTTTGTCGACTGCCGAGATCGAGGCCGCGCTCATTGAGCACCACTCAATTGCCGAAGCCGCCGTCGTTGGTGTTGCCGACGAGCTCACCGGCCAGGCTGTCAACGCCTTCGTCGCCCTCAAGGACGGCAACGAGGCCACGGATGCGCTCCGCAAGGAGTTCATCATGCAGGTGCGCAAGAGCATCGGTCCCTTCGCGGCTCCCAAGGCCGTGCACATTGTGCCCGACCTGCCCAAGACCCGTTCCGGTAAGATCATGCGCAGAATCCTGCGCAAGATTCTGGCTGGCGAGGAGGACCAGCTTGGTGACGTGACGACGGTATGTCTCCCTCCATTCTCAGTGACGCACACCAGAAGACTAACGTTGAGACAGCTGTCCGACCCGTCAATCGTCGACAAGATCATCACCATTGTCCACGAGGAGAAGAGAAAGAAGTAAAACCATCGTAGCGAAGGGATGAAGAGGGGGGAAGAGGAAGACATTCGATACCACGAGGAGAGGAGGATACAAAGAGGAAAGACCTCCCTCCTTAGCCCATGATGGATAATTGGGGTTCTTTTGCCATAAGCGACATGTTCAGAGTTCTTGAGCTACTTTTACAAATCAAAAAAACGTTGAAAACTTATCTCTTCTGTTCCACCAGCGGGGCGATAGCGAATTATTATTCACTGAACACGACTTTGATAGGGCCGATTGATACATGATATCGGGAACATGACACAGCTGCGCCTCGTCTCCCAACCCACGCGATGTTGAAGGGTCTCGGACATACCGGGCTGGTCATCGTTGTTGGCCCCCCGGCCGATCGGCGGAATCAAATGGGGTCCCGGGCCCCCGCGAAGGCAAAATCGCACCCGGACGTATGCAACTTGCTGACACTCGGACCCACGCAAGGCACTGCCTCCGCGCCGGGACTACCATCACCTCGGCGCCGCTAGTCGACTGTCCCGCCTTTTCGTCCTTGTGTGTACGTTCTGATGCCAAGGACCGGTAGCTGCGCTAGGGCGTGCGTGGTGAGTGCGAAGGGCACGGCCTCCGGTCATGACATCGCGCTGCGGGTCTTTTGGATACGGCTTGCGTGTTGCGAGAGTTGGTTTGTTTGAAGTTTGACAATGGCAGAAGCATGTGGTTCTATCTTGTACACGAGGCTCAGTCGACAGGTAGTTTGGAGAGGTCGCCTCTGAGGGATGGGCGTATTCGTCATCAAAAGAAGGGGAAGACGCAGTCTCCAGCAGGTGTATGAGGCCTATGACTTCGTTAACCTACCTGCTTGCCTTAGTTTCACAGAATTCCGATTGGGATCGATCGCCGAGCACCCTGTGGCATAGTCTTTCCTTCCATCTGGCTCAGCAGTATCGCGAAACCAGCTGTGGTATCTTTGACGCTTCGATATCGAGGAATGCCAGGTTCTCAACAACATCGTCATCTGGGCAGTGCTACGTGACGACGGTTTTTCATGAATTATCGTCACTGAGGTGGCAGCCGGTTTGCAATCAGGGTATCAGCGGAAGCGGCCGAATGAGCTACATTACTCACTCGGGGCTGTCTAATCCATCACGATCGTATTGCCGGCACATCGTCGTGATGCTTGTTGCATCCGTGGCTGTGCCAACGACGACGACAAATCAAGAAAGATGCCGGGAGACGACACACAAACGACAGTGGACCAGTCGGACGAGTAGAGTTGCATGCTGTGGTGACATGAACCCAAGACTGGCAGTATTGGATCAAATATCACAACCGAGATCAGAGCCGAGATCAAGAAAATTTACGAACCCGCGCGGCCAGACCCATCAACGGCCTCAGCTGCGCATGGGTTTCTTTCTGCAACCGTGCCCATCCGGCATGCGGTTTCCACGCAAGGTCGTCGAACAGGAAGCAGCCGCCGATTCAGGACCTGCATGAGTTGAGTATGCCAACTTGCCAACGACTCCCCTCATCCAACGCCCTCGCCGATCAACAAACAACTCTTCAACCAACCACAGGTCTTCCGATAACGAGGTGTACCCCTCTAACAATTCCTTTACGACAGTGAAGTTGGTTGGCCACTCAGCGCCCCCTCATAGTCGTTTCTCGTTGGCCTTCCTACGGCACAGCCTCAGCGAGCTGCATGACCTGCACAAAATGTTGTGCCACCGCAGCTTAGAAAGCAAGAAGCAGGTCGTCGTCATCTCGCTCTGGGTGTGTGGGCATCTCCTTGGGGGCTAGCTTCAACATAGGAGACTTGGCATGTCATCAAGACTTCTTATGTCCGAGGCATGGCAAAAGAGAGAAGCCGCTTTCCCTTTCTTCTGGCAATCTGCTGTTGCGGTGAGGTCAGGAGGAATGCGGCTCATTGCCCGACCGATTGGCAGCCACTCACAACGGCGGCTGGGCGGCTGCAGTCTGTGCGAGCCAAGATGGCGAAGCGAATCGGTGATGCTGGCGTCGGTGTTGGTACCTTCATCTCTGTGTGAGCTGCTTTGAACTTCGTTACACGCGGTAATCTCAGCCTCAAACATCAGCCCCTGTGAGGCTGGTGTGATGTAGCACAATGTCCAAGATGTGAATCCGTGTTGTGTTAGTCTGTTTGAAGGATTGGCCTGAATTCGGCTGTCATCGTCGCATGCATAGTCCCCAAGCAACCGAAGTCAAGGCGACGTTGATCGACTAGACCAGAGGCTGCGTCGGAGCTTTCGGATGGTGAATCCACGTTTCTCGTTTGCACTTGCCCGCCCTGTACGTCGTTCAGATGATGACAGCCATACTAATGGAACAGTGAACATCTCAACCAAGTTTAAGCCAAGTAAGCTTGGCAATAAGGATTCGGCAGTGCCGTTCCGCCGGAAGCAATTTGGCAGCCGATGCGGGGATCGATGGGGACCAGCACGTTCCCGGAGGCCTCTAGATAGCTGCAATCTCGGCCAATCGTCAGTGTTCGTTCATTATCCAGCGTGCCTCTCATGCGTGAACAAAGCCACCGAGGGATGGGCCGTACGCGCAATGCAAAAGCAGGATATCTTGTTCGATAGCCCACACTTGCATGGCGAAATGTGCCGGCGTCGGATGTGGCACTTGTCTTAAACCCGAAAAGAGGGCTGTGAAAGCGGGGGAAAGAAGTCTTTTTTGCTTTTCTTCTTTCCGCTGACTCCAGAATCCAGACCGTCTGATGTATCGCGTCGAACCGGTCGCACAAAAACTTGATTATTGGTTCGGTCGGTGCCGGCACTTTGAGTTTGTTTGTGACCCCTGTCCCGCGGGCACGGGAGTCTGTTGTTAACTCAGTTTTTGAGAACCGGGGCCCTTGGATCTAGGGGTTCTCCAACAGTTGCAATCTCTTGTGCATCAGTATTTCGACAGATGTTTCAGAGGGAGGCGACGTTGCTTCCAGCCAATGGCGTTTTGTTTGGTGATAATCAGAGACATGATGGACAATCGATAACGAACTGGCACTAGGAGCCAAGACATTGACACTGGGTAAAAGAATCGGTGACATCAAAGCCGAGTTGGGACTAGCGGTCGCTCCCAGTGTGCTCGTCAGAGACTTCTGGCCAAGCCTGCTAAGCCCCGAGGCCAGGCTGGGTGGCAGAGGGGAGACGTAAGCTCATAAGCTTACCTTGAGACTCACAAGACCGTCCACTCCGACACGGCGGGGGCTAGTGTCATGGGCGTCTGCGACGTGAAGACCAACAACAAGGCAAGTGATGTTTGGCGTGGCATTGGCAGTCGAAGGTCCACCGAAAAGGTACAGAGTAGAGAACGTTGGCCTAAGCCCGGCTTGGTGGAAGCGTTCGATTTGATACTTAAGCATCAAGGTGCGTAGTCCTCGCGTCGAGCTGTGATGGTTGGCATCGAGCAGGTCAAAAGATCTCATCTTTCTTGCCCATTTCATCTCACAACACGTTGCTCCCTAGTCACTGCATTCAATTTGTCGTGACCGTTCCAACGAAACCCCGAGCTGAGCGAATAATCATTGGCTCGAAGCGCCAATAGCGACTCAAACAGCGTGCCATTGGCTCTGAAACGCGAGGGACGGAGAGGCGTTGTCCTGACAGTGCAGAGGTCGCAAGTCGGCCAAGGGTGGTGAAGGTACGTATCCGACGATATCAAAGCCGCTAAGAATAGACGGTCGGGATCTGTTAGTAGCTGACATGCGTATCCCGCACTGCAGCATTTCCCCTTTGCTCTGGGGGCTGTCATCCCATCAATCCCTCCCACATCCCCTCCCCAATTATCGGCTCGGTTGCCCTTCTGGGTGCTGCTTTGGAGGTCGACTGTAACGGCCTTCACCCGTGTGGTTCAGCTCAGACGGGGACGGTATCAGATTCTGGGAGAGAGATCTTGGCCAGTCGCCAGGATTCCCTCGTCGAAGATTGGTGAGGTGAGTTCGAACGAGTTTATTTCTTGCATCTGCATATTGTTCTGCAGCTGTTGTGGTCTTGAGACGAACCGCCATGGCTGTGGATGGCGAACGTCAGGCCATAATACTGCAATAATGGCGGTGTTGCGTCGTGGTCGGACCCGTGAGGCTTGCGGCTTTGGCGGCGGCGGGCGGTGACGGCGACACCTCTCTGAGAGACTGAGAGACGGCAGTTGCCTTCGCAGTCTCTCCTGGGCAAAGTTAGAGCATCGTGAGCCGACGGCGGCGTGAGCGCGAGTGTTCTCGCGTGCGTGTGTGCCACGAGTGCGAGCAGCGGTAGCGTCAGTCCGGGTGCTTGGGGGATCGACCGGGTCGAAAAATTAAAACTGGAAAGCATTATGTTCGTGTCAATGTACCAGCTAACAGCAGCAGTGAAACAGGGAGAAGGCAGGCTTCCTCTGCCCGGGTCGCCTTAGGTAAGGTCCCTGAGTGGGAACCCAGGCGCTAGCGCGGTCCTTGTGTCCCAAGCTCGGAAGGGGTACCTCTGTCTTGGTGCTTGCCACTGCCGTGCTGCGCGGTACACTAAGCCAAGAGTGACCAAGTCGCCCAGCCGCCTCTGGAATCCACCGCACCTGGGCGCTCCAATACAGTTGGTCCACGCCCCCGTACCAAGAGATCGTGTTGCGCAATCCACTGGCCCCGTCCAGCGACACCGACCGACCGACGCCCCCCCGAGAATCCCATAGCCTTCCTTCCTCCTGGTTGCCAGTCTCGCCTGTCTGCTGACTGCTGCTGAGTGAGGTCTGCTGCTGCTCCTCCTTCCGTCTGTCGCCGGCACTAAGGGACCCAACCCAACGTTCCGGACTTCCATTCTTTCTTTCGACACAACCACATACATTCGTTCTCTTTTGTTTTAATCCTTTTCCTCCCCTTTGCTTCCGCCCTTGCCACCAGACACGCGAATACGGGCCCTTCACGACAACTTACCGCGCTCCAGGACGACAACGACGACCGCAGAACCCCTATCTGGAGGCTTACGCAGCGCCATCGCAAGAGGCCTCCCCGAGCCTCACCCCGTTTGCGGGGAACAACCACAAAGATGGTCAGCTTCAAGACCATCGCTGCCGCCTTTGCCGGCCTAGCAGTCATCGCGCAAGAAACATTAGGTATGTTTTTAAACTTAAAAGGTGGTGGTGGTGAGGCAAGTAATGAGAGCGCGCCGCTAACATTCCCCAGCGCACTCAACACAGCGGAACCCGCTGAAGTATGTCACTATCCTCGAAGATGCCGTGCTGCATTCGCCTTCACAACATTGCCATGCTCTCTCACATTTCGACCTCACATTCGCACTTCACGACAAGCAACAGGAGGTCCGTTTAGCGCTGAAGCCTAATCACGACATTTTGGGGGACAACTTCGAAGTGCACTATCTCGGCGCAGACGGCAAGATTCGCAAGACGGAGTCGGTGGACCGCTCAGAACATCGCGTATTCAGGGGCAAGACGTTTATCCGACACGACGGCAACACCGAATGGACGCATGTTGGTTGGGCAAGAATCACCATCCATCGAGACGGCGCCGAGCCCATCTTCGAGGGCGCGTTCCGCATTGACGGCGACCCCCACCACGTGCTGACTGGATCCAACTACCGCCAACGGAAGCACCGCGAAGACCCCGATGCCCCGACCAGCCGGAACCCCGACGACTACATGGTGGTATGGAGGGACTCGGACATTCTTGATTACTACTACGACCGGGAGGATTTGAAGCGGGATGTCTTCGGCCGGACGTCATGCAACTCGGACAGCTTGGGCTTCAACGCCAAGTACGATCCTCTCGACGCACGGGGGCTCGAGCCCTTTCAATCCGTCGCCACGAACTCTCTTTTCGGACGCAACATCTTTGGACGACAGACCGACACTGGCAGCACCGGTAACAACGGTGCAGGCGTCAACTTGGTCTCTACCATTGGACAGACGAGCGGTTGCCCGACGACGCGCAAGATCGCGCTGCTGGGTGTTGCCACCGACTGCACTTACACGGCTGCTTTCAACTCGACCCAGTCTGTTAGATCCAACATCATTCAAGTGATCAACGCGGCGTCCGAGGTGTACGAGAGCACTTTCAATATCTCACTCGGAATCCAGAACCTGACCATCAGTGACGCCAACTGCCCGGGAACAGCCAGTTCCTCCGCGCCTTGGAACGTAGCATGCAGCAACAGCGTCACCATCACCGATCGACTGAGTCTATTCTCCGCATGGCGCGGCAATTCCAAGGACACGAATGCTTTCTGGACCCTGTTGAGTACTTGTGGGACCGACTCTGCCGTCGGCCTCGCATGGTTGGGCCAGGCTTGTGTGAGCGGATCGCAATCTTCGGACAACGAGACTGTCGCTTCCGCGAACGTCGTCATTCAAACACCCAGTGAATGGCAGGTTATTGCTCATGAAGTCGGTCACACATTTGGCGCTGTGCACGACTGCACATCGGACACCTGCAGCAATGGCGATTCCAACTTGAACAGGTGCTGCCCGCTGAGCTCCAGCACTTGCAACGCGGCAGGACAATACATTATGAACCCCTCTACAGCCACCGGTATTAAGGCATTTTCACCTTGCAGTATCGGCAATATTTGCTCTGGTCTTCTCCGCAACCAGGTGAAGTCGACGTGTCTTACAAACAACCGCGACGTCAAGACTATCCTCGAGAGCCAGTGCGGTAACGGTATTGTCGAATCAGGCGAGGACTGCGATTGCGGCGGTGAAAATGGATGTGGCAGCAACAGCTGCTGTAACCCTACGACTTGCAAGTTTACCACCGGCTCGGTCTGCGACCCCTCCAACGAGGACTGCTGCAACGGTCAGTGCCAGTTTGCCAGCAACGGAACTGTTTGCCGAGCGAGCACCGGCTCCTGCGATCCGGAGGAGGTATGCAGCGGCACTTCGTCCTCCTGCCCTACGGACAAGCACAAGGACGACGGAGACTCGTGCGGCAACTCCAGCGACGGCTTGACTTGCGCTTCAGGTCAATGCACCTCCCGCGATCAACAGTGCAAGACGGCCTGGGGTGCCCGGACGAACACCACCTCGGTCACTTCTTGCAGCAACCAGGACTGCTTGATTGCTTGCAATGTCCCGAGTATCGGGTCCGGTTGTGTGACCATGAACCAGAACTTCCTTGACGGAACTACCTGTCAGGGCAACGGCAAGTGCTCCAACGGACAGTGTGTTGGTTCCAATGCTGGTGATGAGATTCTGGACTGGATCAAGAACAACAAGGCCATCTTCATCCCCATAGTATGTGTAGTTGGTCTGCTTGTTCTCGTCGCCCTTTGCAGTTGTGTGTGCGGCGCCTGTCGTAGAAGCCGAAGCCGTACGCGTGCCAGGAGGCTCAAGCCTGTTCAGCCACCGATGGGAGGCTGGAACGGCTACGGAGGGGCTTGGGGTCAATCCAACGTGCCTCCGCCGCCTCCGGTGGCTACTCGTCCCGGTGCTCCTCCGCAATACGCACCATACCCTAGCCAGGACTGGCAAATGCATAGAACGCAGAGCGCCAGATACGCATAATCTCATATTGAAGAGATGACAGGATAGAGGGCCCAAAGAGGTCCGGAAAAAGGAGGACTACAGTTATCCATCATTGCATTATTCGGAGTTGGTGGTGTTTACATTTTCATTTCCCTTTTCGGCTTTCAAAAGTCCCATATTGTTTAGCATGGGCATGCACACGTCACAGCCTAGGCAGTGTAATTGTGTAATTCATGATGGCTACGGTCTTGGATACCTGCGGATACCTAGATAGGGACAGAACATAACTTAGGTCAGCTGGCTGATCCAGTGCGGACACCAGCGACGACATCGTCACATCAATGACTAGACTTTGATCACAATTCCTTGGTAAACTTGCATGATTCGCTTTGAATGACACCTAGTAACGCCGGTAACCAGATCGGTGACCCGTAACTTCATAACTCATGACTTGCGTGAGACCGGGACGGGATGATTCATCCTTGTGCTCAAGCCAGTATCAACAGAGCACATCCCATGCCAACACCCCTACTTATTCTGAAAGAGCTCAAACCGCAGGAGAACTTTCGTAAAGATCTAAACCCAACTCCAGCGCTTAACCCTTCGGGCTTGCTAATAGAACGTGACTGATGACGTTCATGTTCTTGTTGTCGATGGAGACCCAATCGAGCTTTCCCCCGGTACATCTTGAGGACTTCGCCCGCGCAATCAGTGCCGACTAACCCTATCACCTCCAGCGCTCCTACGCCGGGGATCACGCCTTGAGGCCGACGCCTTGCGAGGATCATGCTGTTGCTGTGGCGGCGGCGTGTTGGTATCCAGACCGCACAGGATACGCGTGAAGTGAAGTCTGGTGCCGGGGATGCTCTGCTCTTATGCGTCAGTGGCCGGTGTCTCTCATTCATTCAGCAAGGCCATGTCCCAGGCAAGAGCGGGGGTGTTCCGGGCGGTCAACTTACGTCTCCTCGACTGCACGCGTACATGGCCAGCTTCTCGGGGTCGTCCAGGATCTCAATCGCAAACAGCTTCTGTCTACGGTCCTCGAACGTGTCGCCGTCGTCGCCGCCGCCGAGGCTGCCCACCTTGCCGGGGGCCCGGGGCGGCGACTCCATGCCCAAGTCGCTGGGTGAGTACGGGTCCTTGCCGCGGGCCTGGCGGTCGCGCATCGCGGGTGTGAACTGGGGCTCCATCATCGGGCCGCCCGGGTGCGAAGACGAGGTCGAGGGTTGCTGCTGGGCGCCGGCGGGGTAGAAGCGTTGCTGGTGCTGCTGGTGGGGGCTGTAGTACTGGTTTGACATTTTGGACGATCACTCCTGTGATTCTGTATGTGGTATTGATTTCTGAGGAAGGTATGCCTAGTGAGGTGAGGGTTGAGAAGGAGCGGTGACGGCGGCTGCTGCTTGTTTGCTCTCCCGTCTCTCTCACACACGAAGAGCAGGCAAGGAATGGACAAAGCGAGACGCAGTTACGAAGATATCTGCGAGAAAGGCAAGAGCCGAGTACAATTGAAAGCTCGAGTCTCGCACAATGAATGGTTTCGCACCCGGGAGTGTCAAACGGACGAGGTCGCGGAACAAAGGTATTATCGCTGCACGGATGTCGTTGCTGGTCGGCGGTTTGTCGTCCGCCCGCTTATGAGCTTGTGACGCGCGCGCTGGGGGGGCTAGCTGCTGCGGCGCGGCGCGGGAATTGAGGAGGGGTCGGATCCGATGCGGGGCCACTGCACAGCAGCCTTTTTTTGTCGCAAGCGCCTTTCCAGTGTGACCATACCCAGCCAGCATACCTTAATCCCCCGCGTTTGCACAATCGGTGCCTGGCTGCTGGGTGGGTTTAGAGTTGATTGACTAGCAGCCATCGTGTTTCATGGAGAAGAAGTGCGCCGTCGTTGATTGAGTTTCTAGCCCAACCTAGCCACACCGCCGCATGAGGTTGAATTCGGGCAGAGCTTCTGCCAGGTCTTACGTGCCAAGGACATACGATGCCTTACTTTGATATGCTTTGCAAGGTAGTATTTTGTGGCAAGAGTCTATCTTGACGTCGGACAGCGACGACGTCCCTTTCGCTCGCTGTATTTCTTCAGACTTCAATGCTCCGAATGACGTGTGACGAAGCCATTTCGCATCTGGTCTTGTTGTGACGGACGGAGTAAGCATCACATGTAATGAAACTCCCAAAGCGTGCCCAAATTGATGTAACATTTCAAGTACATTGGCATCTCGTCAGCATCGCGACAATGACTGAGTCGAAACCTCCTTTGTTTTGTTTTTTGTCATATCGGTTTGGTTGGTATATACAGGCATATTGTACAACGCGCTGACCCTGCGAGTGGCAAGTGATGTATCCCCCTCTCCCGCTTCCAGACAGACCCTTTTGAACAAAAAGACAACTCGACACGACGAAAGCGACCGAATTATCTACCGCTGCTCCCACTCTAACCCAACGCTGACTCCCATCCTCTTTCTCTCCAGAAACCACCTGTAGATGAAGGTATGCGTATGCAAAATGGCAGCCGGCTCTCCCCAGCTCCCACCATTGAGGACCTGACCGCCTGGTATCCTCAGTAACAACACCGCCCGCGACGCCGGAAACCGTAGAATGTGTGGCCTAGGAAAGGAGCACGACCTGGATTGTCGTGTCTGAATGGCCTAGATGATGATGATAATGATGTAAACGCTCTGCCGCGCAGGTTGCTTTGCCTTGCGAAACCGCGAGTTCTCTCATAGACTCTCAGTCGAGCATGTCGGAAATCATGATCGTAGATGTGTGAGCAAGCCCATGGTTGCTGAGATTTACCGGCTGAAGTTAATGACAGCCAACTGGGAAATGTCAGAGATGGTCGCAGCATTCAAACATCATGATGGATACTTACTCGGCTGTTGGCTCCGTACGCGAGTCTCTGTCCATCAGCATCCCAACACAGACAGTGTTCATCCTCTTCCTCCGGCTCCGAATTCGCCTTGGGACTCAACCAGCCCGGATGTGGCGCCCTGCTCCAGCTCGCACGTGGCATCGTGTGCTCTCCAACCTTCCAAATGAGAATGTGACCGGCGGTGGCTCCCGCAATGAAGGCTCCATCCGGAGTAAATGAGACAGCGACAATTGGTGACTCCATCGTGAAGTAGGACTTGGGTTTCTGATCTGGGAATTTGGCATTCCAAATGAGAATCGCGCAGTCGTCACCTCCAGTCGCAATAAGGCGCTCGTCTTCGGGCGGGCTTGAGTCGGCCGGCAGGGGTTGCCATTGCAGTGCGGTGATTGCACCAGAGTGAGCAGTTATGGAACGGCGCTGACCGTTTTCATCCCAGAGCTAAAAAGGTTGAGTGAGCCGATCTTCATTGCACAGGCGTTTCGGGATACTTACATCAAGGATACCCTTGTCGCTTGACGTGGCAGCCAGCTTTGAGCGCCAGTCATACGCCACCTGGGTGAAAGTGTCGTCGTCCCGACTCTCAAACTTCTTGTTCGGCAGGATGGCCGTGTCGGTGCACCTCAGTGACAGCATCACGTCGCCGCCGGTGAGGAGGAACTCTGTCTCGCTTGTCCATGCCGCGTCGAGGGGCCAGTTCAGCAGGTCGTGGTTCGGGAGGAAATACGACAAGGTGGCCGAGGTCAGTGAGTGATAGACGGTGACCAGCGCGCCTCCGTTGCCATTGCCGTTGCTGTTATCGGGGGCAATGGCCAGCAGAGCGGCGTCGCTTGGGCTCCAACGGAGCTTGATCACCGGAGGGTCCGAGACGTCGAACTTGTCGACATGCGAGCCGTCCTTGGCCCAGATGTGAACAGATGCCTTGTCGCCGTACTCGGCCGCGATGGCAATGGCTGTTCCCCCCCAGTTCCAGGCAAGCTGACCGACAGTTGCTGACTTTGGAGTCTCGTCGTCCATGAGACTGTGGTAAGGGCGATGGACGCCATGCACGTGACCGTCGGCCTCGGAATCAGGCGCAGGCGTCATAGTGCTTGAACGTGAGATGGTCCAAATCCGGGCTAGCGCATCGGTTCCAGCAGCCGCCAAGATGGATGGGTCCTTGGGGTTCCACTCGCAGCGCAACAAGATGGGTGCATTTTCACCGTTGGCTGGCGAGGGCGAAGCGGCACCGGTCGCTGCGGTAGTCGTCGCGGCGGCGCCGTCCTGCGGGTTGCTGGCGGTGGAAGTGGTGTCATCGGGCATTAATCGCAAAAACGTCGTCTCTGTTGTCAATTCCTGGACTTTGTCGACCTGCGTGCCCTGCTCGGGGCCATCTGTTCTCGGAGTGGGCGTCGGAGCTTGTTCGCCTTCCAGGGGCGACGGGTAGGCGTGGTTGTTGTCCCCGTGGTTGTCTAGCTCCATGGGGTCCGTGGCTGCATCCGCCCCATTCGTGCTTTCGTACCCATTGCTGAGCCTGGGCCGCTTGCTGGGTGAGCCGCCATTCACCAGGTGCTGCTGTGGCCGGCTGTCAAGTTGGCGTTTTCGAGAGTTTTCGACCTCCATTTCCGTGTCGTCTACCTCCCCGTCCGCGTCCTCATCCTCCTCGATCTTGTGAGGCGGCTGGGGGATCAATGGCCCAAACAACCCCACCTGCAATGCTTCGGCCGCTGCCGCTGCATCTTGAGGCACCTGCTGCACGCGCAAAAAAGTGTCAGTTTGCTGTTCGTACGTTACGTTACCCACACCCACATCTCCGTCCACCCTTTGGTCGCCTCGGGCTGCGCTGCCGCCATCACCCTCGGCGCCGGGGAGAGAAGACGAAGAGGCGAGTGCCAGCCACACGTCGGTCGGATGCGAATTGGGTTACCTTAGTTGCGTGTTCCCTCTCAAGGGCCTGGTAGCAGAGGCCTTTGTTGATGACGGACACCAATGCATGACTCTTGACGTGGTTTGCGAAATCAAAATGGCGATGAGGTTGCTGAACGTGCCACTCCTTCTGGAACTTGGCTGCGGTCTCGCGGTAATCTGCAAACGTTAGAAAAACAAGCCACGGCCCACCCCCAGCTGTCGCTGACGGGTGTGTCTGGACGATCATCACATACTGCTCTCCAAGAGGTATCTGGGGCCGACACGTTAGCAATGCCATCGGGGAGGCTCTGGTCGCGAGAGAGTCGCTGCAAGTAGGGGGGAAACGTGACGGAGTGCAAAGGGCAAAGTCGTGAGGTGAGAGTGAGGTGCGCGACTATGTGTTCCGGCGTGCGGTGGAGGGTGTGGGTGAGACGCAAAAAGGGTGAACTCACCTCCAGACGAGGAAGTTGACTCTGTCCGAGTCGAGGAATTCCTTGGTGACCATGCCGCGCGGTGCCGCAATGGGCGGCGTATCGAAGTCCGGATCTGTGAGATGAATCGATGAGGATGCCGACGAGGTTCTTCTTGGGCGTGTTTCGGTGCGTCGTCGAGGGAGCGTCTGTCGCGGAATCGTATCGTCGTTTTCAAGATGAGAGGAAAGATTGAAGATTGAAGAAGCCCGCAAGAGTGGATGAAATGGAAGGATGGGCGAATCTGAATCTGGCGGTACGTAGGCAAGGTACCTTGTTAGGCGAGACCAGGCGTGAGGCGTGGCGCTAGTCCCAGCAGCCCAGCCAGTGCCCGCCATTGAATCCAACTGGTGCTGCCTCTACTACTGGTGCCGCTACCGCTACTACACTACCAGTACCACTACTGCCTTGCCTCTGGACCACCTACCTCACGCTCGCACTCATACTCACACTCACACTCACACTCATCATCCTCGCTTTACCTTTAAAAAAGGGTACGTACCGCCACATCCTTCCTTTCCTTACCTTAGCATCCTAGCGTCTTTTACCGGCCTACGGACGTCGACTAGGACTGGGGGAGCAAGAGACAGGCACACTGACTGATGGCTAGGAGAGACACAGGAGAGAAGTGCGACTGGGACAGGACGGGATTGGCACAAGTCACACATTCCTTACGCACACACTTTCAGCTTCTTTTCGTCCATCTGTCTTTCGTTCTCGCGCGGCCGCGACAGCAGGCACATGGCTGAGGTATTTGCCTTTGGCTTTGGCGTTGGCGTTCATCGGCCGTCTTCCCACCCGCGCCGGCTAGGGTTGCTTCTGGTTGTTCGAGGCTTCCACGCCCAGTTCAATCTCCAATCGACTTCGTCCCTCCCGCCAGCCCGGCCTTTGGACGCATGGCACAGCAATTCAACGCTGCTGCAAATCTGCGCACAAAAGCCAAGTCGCAGGACACGCACGGCAGGGAACCGCCCAAGGGGGAGAGGACCAGCCTGAGGCCCTGGTTCCCCGGTCGGGGCTTTACGAGTCCCAGGGAACAGTGATGAATGAACGAGCGCAGCCGGCATCAACCAGACACAATTGTTGGAGACTTCCCATCGACTGGGACGGGACGCTGAAGTTGGAGGAACAAAAGAGAGGGTACGTACCGTCGACAGAAGCTACGTACCTACCTACGTCGGACGGGAGTGGAGTCGCCTCAAATGCATGATCTAACGTACTCAACCTTCAGCGTACCTTTGGGACCGTTCTCAAGATCCTTAATCCATTGCCGGGCCCTGTGCTGTTTTTGCACTCTGATTGAGATGAAGGCAAACCTGGGAGGCCATCCGTTGATAGTGTTTGGCTTTTTGCTCTCGCCTTAGCCTTCTTCCCGAGGCCCAGGTTTATGTGAACCATAAACGCCCTCGTCATTCGTCACCCTTCAGGGGAACCAGGTGATGATGCTGTTTTTGTGCTGGGCTGGGCCGGCTGGGATGGGCTGAGCTGGCTGTATTCATCCCAGTTGGAGAGAATGGAACCCAGAGAGAAGCTCAAGCAGCGGAGGGCCAGCCGGTACGAGTGCGGGCGGGCTTCGAGAAAACGATAATTCTCTGTTTAATCCCGTGGTCCCGTCCATCAATTTGTTGTTGTGGTCCATCAGATTTGGGGGTGGTGTTTGGGGCTACGACTAAAGACAGGGTTCCGGGAGAGCCACATTTGGGGACTTGGAGGTGGCCCTGACACCCAGTCACAATGCCGCCCCTTGCGCCCTGTCTGAGGTACTTTGTGTGTCGCTGTGCCGTCGTCGCCCGTACCTTGGCCAGCCCGCCGGGTACCTCGCGCGTGCCTGATGTCCGAAGCGCATTTTGCACTGCATCTCTCGCGGTTGGCGATAATGTTCGGTGGTCTCTCCACGCTGTCGTGTAATGTTGGCAAGCGACTGGCGACAGTCACGCTTCCCATCGGCAGGCAGTGCGCAAGCGTGGCTCATCTTCAGGTTCGGTCCAGTCCAGGGGGAGGGGGGCTCGCATATCCTTGATCGCGTTCCCTCTCATCCTCCGCGACGATCTTCACGTCTGGCCACCGTGGGTGCGCACTGGAGGAAGCGACTGTGTTATGTATGTATACGTATCGGCCTCTGGAGACGGCGCTGCTGTGCGTGACCGCATCAAAAGGAAAAAAAACTCGATCGTTTCAGGGGTCCAGAACAAGCAAGACACTGTGGATGCCGGGCTCTTCCTGGCAGAGGGCCGGACAGCTGGAGGACGGCTGCAGACGTTGGAGGTACATTGAAAAAGTACATTGGGACATATCCTCACGATATGCACAGATTGGCTGGCTGCCTGGGAAGAGATGAGCCCCCTCAAAACCCACCTTATGTAATACCTCTCCCCAGTTTCCTGGAGCAATGGAAACGCAGAATTGGCTCCAAGGTCGCGCTGCGCTGATCAACCGTCCATCTGACTCTTGTCGTCGGCACAGAGGGACGCTGCGCTGCGGCATTCCCACAACTGTTGCGCGCGCCATTCGGTCGCTTCCAATGCATTTGCGCCAGTCAAATCAATCTTTGTGTCACCATTGATGACCCTCTCCGTGCTCCGTCCGTCGGCTCACCCTCCCGTGTCGTCGTTGAATTCCACCACGATCTCCACCTCACCGGTCGGAGGTGCAAAGGGGAGACACGGTCTTTTCGTCTCGAATCGGTTCCAATCTTAACTTCTGCCCCCAAACCCTGTGCTAGCCAGTCGCCAAGAGGCGTAAAAATAAGCTGCCTTCGACAATGAGCGGAAGCACCCCCGTGAGTCCGGAAGAACAGAGCAAGCATGCCTTCGAAGGCCTCAAAAGGGCAGGACAGGCACTGGCACCCGCGTCCGCACCAGCTCGGGGTGCTTGTTCGCTCTGGCGCTGGTGCAGCGCAGTGCAGCACGCAGCGCAGCGTCCTGATGTCTCCGCCCAACCATCTCTGGAATGCGGCGCGGCCTAGCGTGGTGTAGCTTGCCTTTGTATGCACAAGTCGATACCGTACATGCTCTTCTCTTTTCGCCCCATGCGGCCACTGCCCTGGAGGCTAATGCCGAGAGAGGGCCGCGCCTCTTGGGGCTGCAGCCCGCGCAGATGGGCAGCGGTTTGTCGTCTGTTTCCAATTCCTACCCGTCGTGTACGTACCCTGGAAGACAAGGCAAGGTACGGTCCCGAGTGGGGGATTCCAATCATGACAGCAGCTGGGGTTCGAGGTAGTGTTGTGCAGGACGGTGTGTTAGAAATGCCTCTCGGTAAGGCGAGCCATCCCACGCTTAGAGGGCGTGGTGACGGCAAGGGAATGCCATTATCGGTTGATGCGACGGACATCATGTTTTCCTGTGCTCCCCTCCGTCTCCCTCATCGACTTCTCGTCGACTCGCCAGTCTCTTGTGTGTGTACGTGGCATTGCCCATCAAGGGGCCTTCCCTGGCGGGAACTGCTGGCTGCGAGGCGCCCTGGGTGGGTGTGGACAAGGATGTGATGGCTGCATGGCCTTCGATCTTTAATAGCTCCGGGGACTTCTTCAGGGGCCCCTGCCACCGCTTGTCTGTGACCACTGGTTACTAGCCACTCACACCGGCACATCAGGCCAAGCCGAATGGGAGCTGGTTTTGTGGTCAAACTCCATCCCGTCAACGTCGGCCAACGTTTTGGTGTTCGGAAACACCCCTGGGAATGGCAGGCCGCTCATCATTCAGAGGCGCCTCTGAGCACAGAGCCAAACCCTAGCCATCCTGGCACGGACGCCATTGATCCTGAGGCCGGTGCTGATGCTGATTCTCTTTTCCGAGACCGTCTAATCAATGGCGACATGCATCCCAGCGTGATGTCCGCCTGCGTCTGGGGTATTTTATGACGCCGGGGTTTGTCGGTCCTTACCCGCTGGGCCAGAGGGGACGGTAAATTGACGACCACTCTGCAGATGACATGCGATCGATAGGGTGGCGATAAACCCACCAAATTGAAGACTTTCCATGCCCTTCGTGATGGCCATGGCCAAAGCAACGGCCTGCTTTATTGCTGGTGCCATTGGCCGAGCCAACCTAACTGTAGCCAAGCAATGAATGATCTAGCTGGCTTCTCTGACGGTCCAAGGGGGGGCCGTCCGAGGTTTGCGGCACCGTCCGAAGGCGCCCAGGGGCCATGATCTCGAGTCAGTTCCACCTCTAGAACCCTCACCAAAAGTGCCTTCAAATTTGGGCCGGGAGACCTTGGGGAAGCGAGAGTGTCCAACACGCCTCAGCATTCCTCGCGTAGCTGACCAGCGTTGAATGGTCTTTTCTTCGATTCTGGTCTTGGCCAGGCTGATAAGGAGACACAACAAGCAAGGCCTACTGCCGAGAGGCCGGACGGTGGCACGAGTGGGAAGGGAAAAGGGTGGATGACGGCGGCTTCTGCTGACACGGCCGGGCTGGGCTGGCGTTCAACCGAACCAAGTGCCCTTGGAGTGCCCTGCAGGGATGGAGCCACGAGATCTCCCGTTTCGACCGCATCGAGGACTTGTCGGCTCCACCAGTGGAACACTCCCACGCCCCTCCAAGCCCGTTCGTCGCCCTGCAGATGAAAAACTCTGGGGCCTGCTTGTGCTGTTTGTGCGTCTGTCTGCTGCTGCTTGCTTGCTGCTGGCTGCTGCCTCGTGCACCGCAGCACACCTCCGAATCAACCGAATGTCGGGGCTGCTTCTTGAGTAAGGGCCTCCGAGTTCTGGCACCTAGAAGGCGGCTGAGAGATGGACCGTCGTTAAGGATCTGACAGGCTGAGCAGACGTACATCGAGCTCTGGAGAGGGAGTCCGGGGGGAACGTGGCTCGAAACACCTCAAGATAGGTACGGGGTACGTACCCTTGAAACCTCAAAAGGCTGCTGCCCGTGTCAATTCCCGCCAAAATGGGTCTGCATGGCCAGTGCGCTAAGCTCCCAGGTCCTTGGCCCAACCAGGCTTAGCTTCTTCCTGGAACAACTATCACCCGTCCTTTAGCTCCACTGAAACGACCCCGGGCCGCCATACCAAAGTGTCCCCTTGGGTGAGGCTC